CCTGTGTGGTTCAGCGTGGCTGCGCATGCCCTGTTATGCACTGGGCCATGGGTGACCGCCACACCTACACAAAGAATTATGTGACCACAATGATCACTCGAGCAGAGTTAAGCAAGGGTTAAAAGCCGAAAAATTCCTGATGTAGATGAGGCACGTGGTTCTCTCGCCTCCTCCTGTAGAGGGCACTATTTTTAGAGGCTTTTTTTAAACAGTTAAGCACTAAGTCATCCATTGGGGACTCTGGCAGCACCTAACCCAGACTGACCTCAGCAGCTCTTGCCTTTTTCCTTTTACATTTTTACATTTTCATCATGGCAGGCAAGAGCAGAGTTGAAATCCTCTGTGAAACAGCTGGAAAAGGAATGTGGGTCGGAGGGAGGGGGAGGAGTTCAAAATTAATGTAATTTGTAAGTAATTGTATTATTGTAAGTAATTTGTGTTTGTGTGCGTGTGTGTGTGTGTGTGTGTGTTTTATCCGCCTCTGCTGGTCCGCAGGCTGGCTTTTTTTTTAATGTCGGACATAGCGGCTTTTGCCCGCTGGCCTCACCAGCCGTAAACCTCACCGCAGGTCACTGCCGATAGCTTAAGCTTCTCGTTGTATTTTAGCTGAATTCAGTGGGATTTCCTTTTTGAGCAATTACACAAGTTTATTATACAACCTTGCTAATTCAGCATTGAAGGTAACTGCGTACAGTAGTAAGGATACAATGCCCGAGGGGCCGGAGCCTTTCCCAGGGCTTCCAGTGTAATTACGTCATGCAGCAAAATTAACCAGAGGGAATAATAAGCACCAGAGGTTGGTGTGGATTATGTAATCAGGGGAAGTGAATGAATCATCCCGAATACAGGGTGCCCCAATTGCCTCAAGGAAAGGAGAGAGCAAACTGTTTCACCCTCTCAAGAAATTATGGATTTCCATATCCTGCTCAAAGCTGATTTTCCTCTTGGGGGCGGCTGCAATTGCACATTGCCTGGGAGGGCTACAGGTTTTCCATTTCTAAAGTAATATTGAACATTTAACCTTCTGTGTGGTCAAAGAACTAATATTTATAAAGTGTTTGTTTTGAACTATACTTCCTTGCTTTCATTTCTGCAAAAATACCCATTAAGTTGGAGAAAAAAGTAGCTTAATCCTGCATGGCAGAATGAATCAGTGCCCTTTTATGCCCTATAGAAGATATTCCTGAGGAATCAAGGACTTACTTCAGTTTGTCAGACATGTATCCCTCTGGCACTCCTCGTATTCATGACGATGAGCCAATTGTAGTTCTAATCCACCCACAACTGAAGTGGTGTGTGAAATTCAAACATGACTTAAATCAGCAAAAGCAAGAGCACAAGTAGCATGGGGAGGATGGAAATAAAAGGATACTTCAAGATAATGCTGGCCATTAGAAGGACCAACTGACCACAACTGTCTGGCAGATGAGGGGGCCGCCTACTGTTCTTGGAAAGACTACCCCATGGCGGGAAAATTGGCTTCCCTGGGAGACCCCCACTCCACTCCCAGGGCTTTCAGGGGAGAAGCCCCCTCCCCACAGGGTGTCTGGAAGGCTAGGCCCCTGGAGGAGAGCTGGTCAATGTGACTCTCTCTCCACACACACCCCCCTCTCTCAGCAGCTGCCATTAGATGCAGCAGAGAAATAAAGCCAGAAAACGATTGTTTTCCCTACCGAGTCTGACTACACATTTATTGCCAGCCTAAATTAGGAATGTTTTCTGGAGAGCAACTGTTAAATCCAGAGATGATTGCAGGCTAAGAAGAGCAAAATCCAGAATCCTCTGATTTTAAATGCAACCGTTGATTCATCTTGGCTCTTCCACCCAGGGGGGTGGGTGGGGGGGGGCTGCTGTCCTCCTTGGGAGTAAAATCACCCGTGTGCTGGGACCAAGAGATGGTGCCTCCTTGTGAATGTATTGGCAGCAGGACCCGAGAGGGGTCCTCCTGCCTCCTTCCATGACGTAGCCCCCTAGTCCCAAATCTGGCCTCTTCTGATGGGGCCCAGACAGGGTCGCCCGGAATGATTCCACCCAGTGGGGAAAGGTGAAAAAGTTTTGCCACCAGTTTTCTGGGGTGGTGGTGGTGGTCATGTGACTGGGTGGGCATGGCCAACTTTTTTTAATTTTTAAAGCATTTTTTACTGCCTATTCACCTGAACTGGTAGTAACAGATGTTTTAAGAAGTGGGGGGAGGGGGAGGTTCAGCTGTGCTGTGCGACGATCGTAGGAACCCTTTCCCCCCCCCCACTTTTTAAGTGGAAAAAATGCTTTGAAAATTGGGGAAAAAAGGTTCCCACCGTCGCATGGCACAGCTGATTGTCACAGAGCCTCCCCCCCCCCCACTTCTTCAAGCATTTTTTCCCTGTCATTTCAGGCGAACAGGGAAGAAAAAAAATGCTTTAAAAAGTGGTGGGGGGGAGCTTCCTCCAAAGCTTTTTTATTATTATTACCAGTTGGCAGAACCAACGAAAATCGTCCCTGCAGGTTTGTGGGAACCGGTGGCATTTCAGCCCTGATTCCACCCAAACCAGCCTTTAGACGACTGTCAATCACTTGGCTCATTTAGACAGAACAGAGGAAGGTGGAGAGGTTCCACTCTGCTGCTCCTTTTATTACTTGCCTTTTGTTTCAATTATTGTGGAAGTTTGAACCAAATTCAGAAATTATGTGTGGTGGAATTTGATTGCTTCCCAAGAGGCCCTCTGTCACTTTGGAGGTGTGGGGGGGGGGGAGCTGATTGTTCGGTTGCGCCCACTGCTGCTGGGAGAGTGGTAAGCAGGGCAGGCATAAGGGGGGGGGGAGGGCAGAGGGCGAGCCTGGCCCTGGGGGGGCCCCTGTGTGAGCAGGCGGAGGGGCAGGCAGGCTTTCCAGGCTGCTGGGTGGGACGGAGGAGAGCAGCCCGTGGTTGATCACCTCTCCTGTTTTGTTCCTTTAGATCCAGGCTTGAGCCTGAGCAAAGCAACAAGTCAGCGCCCCCTGCTTCTGGTGGAAAAGCCCCTGGGACGGAGACGGAAGCTCCTCCTCCTCCTCCTGAGGAATGGGAAGAAAAACTCACCAGGGAAGGCAGCCGAGGTGCTAATCCCTTCCTGCCTCCTGCAACATCCCCCCCATCCATGCTTTAGACCCTGTAGAAGGTTGAGGCTCCACCGGCCTCCGGTCGGGTAGTTTTCTCTGTGGCAACTGGGGGGAAATAGCTATTTATCATGATGCTGCACGGACAGTGTGTTAAGTGAAAGGGTGGATTCCATGGGTTTCAGAAGGGCTCCAGCCTCAATGCTGGCTCACTCATGGTGGGGCCTTCCCATCCCTGGGGCTTGTTTTCCCTCCCTGCTGGAGGAGGAGGGTTTCTGCTACAGCAGCAGCAGCTGCAGGCTTCCCCTGGAGCTGCCCAGGGACGTGGGGGGGTTTCTGTAGACGGCCAAGAGCAGCCTCCCTTCACAGGAGCAGGAGGAGAAAGAGCCGCGGAGCTGAGCTGCCCGATCAGCTTCTGGCCTTTCCTTTGGAGGGCGACCCTCGGGCTTCCGGAGAAGAGATTTCACCCAGGCTGCCAAGATGGGAAGAAGGGAACCTCGGGCTTCCTCTGAGGGGAGAAGTCCACTTGCTCTCCCCCAAAAGGACGCTCGTGGGGATGGGTTCAGTGGTGAGAGGAACAGCCTCCGCCCTCCACAAACCAGACCTGAGAAGAACGGAGGCCTATTGTCATCTACCAGGTGCAGAGATCCTGGCTGTGAAATCAGAAGATCTGACCATTCAACCTGCTGATCACCACGACCCTTTTCTTCGCTTTCATGTCCGAAGTAGGGACGTTCCCAAAAGAGGCTGGAGAAGAGAAGGATTCCAAGTGGCCAGGGAGGGAGGGAGGCGGATCGGATCGGACTCGCTCGTGTGTCTTCCGTCGCTTGGGGAGCTTTGCGTTCTGGAACTCTTCCGAAAACTCTGCTCTGGGGACGGCAGACGGAGAGAGCTCACGTGGCGCCGACGAGGCCCCCCCCCCCGGCCCCTCCCACACAGTGACCGTGGCCTTAGCCAAACCCAGGCCCTTAGGAAAACCCCCACGCTCTGCCGTGGGTCCTCCAGCCCTTCCGTGGGGAGGGTGGCAGCAGCCGACCAGGAGGCTCTCAGAGAAGGACTTGGAGGACGAGCCTCCCTTGCCAGATCGTTTTGCAGTTGCCCCGAGACCAAAGGCAGACGCCCCCCACCCATCCCCAGGCAGCCCCTGGGATTCATTGGGCCCTCAATGAGGAGGTGTCGGTCCCTGCTTGCCACGGAGGCCACCAGCTCCTGAGCCACCCTGGGCTCAACACCACCACCAGCAGCAGCAGCAGCAGCTGGCCAGAGGTGCTTTAAGGTCTTTGGGCATGAATAGCCAGGACTGACTCATCTAATTATTTTTTTTAACTTTTGTAATATGTGGGTTTTTTTTTTAATGTTGTACACCGCCCTGAGTCCTTGGGAGAAGGGCGGCATATAAATCCAATAAACCAATCTAGGCCACAGCAGGAGGGACAGGACGTCCTGGGGGATAGAAGCTCCCGAGGTTCCTACGTAGCAGGCAAGAACGGAGGGCTCCCGAGGAGCAGAATTGTGCGGCTTCACCTCCGACTGAAGGGGTCTCTAGCCAGTTGGGGCGGCCTTCATGCGGATGACCGTCTCGTTTGGCTTCTTTTGCAGAGAGGAACCTAGTGGATGAGCAGGCTGGTTTTGGTCTTGGTCAAGACAGCAGAGGAGAAGATGAGCTTTCCCCAGAAGAAATCCAAATGGTAATCCGTCTTTCCATCTTGGGCAGGAAGCATCTGCTGGGGAAACTCTTGCAAGGACTTTCTGAAATGGGCCACCTGGTCAGGCACCCTCTCCCTGGCCAGGCAGCCTGGCA